GTTCATTACATCTTTTTTGATTCAGCATTTAATTATTTTATTATTTATCTCTTTGCTGAGACTTTGCTGTTTTATTCTTATTCAGCATTTATTTATTTATTTATATATCTTTTTGCTGAGTATTTGCCATGGCTACGATCCGGACGTCCGGACGGTCTGGATTCAGTCCGGAATCCAGATGTCCGGTCTGGAAGGTCCGGAGCTGCCAAATTTCGAGACAAAAAAAGAAAAAAAAACGGTCCAGGACCCTTCCCCATTGAGGAGCCAAGCCCCCAAAATTGTTTTGGGAGTTTCTCAGGCCCGTTTATGCTTTTTTTGGGGGTCCGGACATGCTCTCTCTCTATAGTAATTCATTAGACAACCCCAATTTTTTATTTATTAATAATTCATTACCTTTTATTAATTTTTATTACTTTTTAAAGTCTTTTTCTAAGCCTTTTATAGTTTTTGACTTTTAACTCAAGTTTGGTTAGGAATTCTGACATGACTCTGAGGCAAAAGTGGTTTGCATTATTATTCTGCATAACATACTTTTTTTTCAGATTTTTTTTTTTTTTTTTAATGGTCCGGACATTTCCGGACCTGTCCAGACCTCCGGACCGTCCGGATCTCCCCATGTCCGGAGGTCCGGAAATGTCCGGAATCCCGGACGTCCGGAAACTACCGGACACGGGTGCGGTTCCATGTCCCGAAATGTCCGGGTCCGGGTCCGGCGTAGCCATGGTATTTGCTGTCTTTTTTTTTATTCAACATTTATTTATTTCTTTATTTGCCGAGTCTTGCTGGCTGGTCCATTTTTGTTGGTTCCAGGTGTGTCACCTCAGACTTTCCCCTAATAGGTGGGGCCTGCTTTAGCAGTAGGATACCACCAGGAGGACGATCTGGGCTGCATTCTGACACTCAGGATGCAGACCATGGGCTGCCCAGCCAGGCCCAACACTATATCTAGTGGGAGGGCAGTCCAATTCGGCAGATTTCAATCGGGCAACATTGTGAGCATCATTGGAGCAGCATGCAACTCTGAAGTGCTGCGCTAGAGGTAGAGGTAGAGAAGTAGGAGGTAGTGGGAGAGCGGAGGCTGGAGAGCCATAGCCGCTGGTTGAAGGACGACTGACCTGGGCGCCATAGCTTGGACTGCACTTCAGCGACATGCATCAGAGAGAGCCATTCCACCAGTCAGTGTCGGCAGGACTTCAGCAGCAGCAGGTTAGGGAGAGACAAAGGAGACTTTATTTTTCTTCTCCTCCTCCTCCTTCCTGACTCCAACCTCCATAGTCACTGTTCTTCTTCTTCTTCTTCTTCTTCTTCCGAGAGAGAGAGAAAGGTTACGGGCAGAGTTATTACAGGCTATGGGGCGCAGGATCTGATTCGACATTCTTGGGGCAAACATAGGTTGGACACTTCACATGGAGACTATTTTTTTGACAGCAGCGTTTTCGACTCTGGTCTACTCCCTCACCTCCATCTTTGTCTTGCTCCTTTCTCTCCCATCGTCTATGGTACACCTTCGTGCGTGCTCAAGGGGGGACCTCTTCCTCTGTGTATGCGGCCTCCCTTCTCTCTCACATGTGCGATGATGATAATACGAGTCAGGTCTGTCCATCGAGTCAGGTAGTATGTTTGAGTCTTCCGCTGTACTAAATTGTACCATTTTATGATTGTATGAATACACATTGTCTCTCTGATGTCATCATGTAGGTCATCGATCTCATGTACGTCTGAGTCCTTATCATCACCTCACTGGTCCTTTTGCTCCTTTGCATGCTTACCTTGTCTATGAACATGCATGTGCGGCAGAGCCACTGGAGAAACATTCTTGTATATTCATATTAATATTGGAGACGGCATCTTCAAGCGTTGGGCTTGGCTTGGCGTGGCCTGCCTCAGACCGGTACCGATCGGCCATGGCCTGTCCGCTGCAAACATTTTATTGGTCCAGTAGCTTCCGGACTTTCCTGGGACATGGCACAAAATTGGACTTGGGACTTTGAGACTCGACTGGACGCTCCTGGACTTTTCTTGTTGGGTAACGGACGGAATCCTACCAACCTACGACGCTTCGGCCTCTAGACCCTACGGCCTACCCTACAGGATGGCCCTGGGACTTGGGTCTTGTCGGGACCTTGGGACCGGGACTGGGTGTCTGCAACGTGAATCCTTTCACACCATTCGAGAGCACACATAACGTGTGCACTGCATGAGGGTGAAGCCCAAACGTGAACACAATCATTGGAAATGACGAGAAGAGAGACAAGGCAGAGACCAGAGTGCAGGTTACACGCAAACAATAATAACATGAAGAACAATTGCGTAGTTCGACATGTACCCGGCGCTGCATTTCGACTGGCATGTACCAAAACGAGGTCTGAAGCGACTTCACAATTTGTTACAAGCTGATCACACTGAGCTCGAGGCAGCCCAAACTCCTGGCACTAGTGAAATAAGCAAGTTGACAATGATGTCCCCACAACGTTAAGGTTTGCCGCATGAGTGCATCATAATCAAGCAACGGGCTTGAGGAACCATGTGGACACAAGACAACCTGTAGTCTAACCAGAAAAGTGGTGAAGCAAAACCAACTTGGCTTGAAAAGTGCCCAGTACATTCACCCGGGGCTATTAAATACATCAGCGGGGATGGAAGCTGACTTGCTCAGAAGTTGTAGCAGCACCTACCTACACTTACTAACTCAGAGCTGCACAAATGATTGTTGGCCAATTGGATGGGAGCATATGACCTCTAACAACGTTCAACCATCTCAAACGGAAATAGGGGCAGGAGCTATGGCAGCTTGACCAGCTCTGATACCATTGGAGCAGAAGCCTTCAGGTGTGACAGCTCACACTCAGAACCAGTGGGTACGCCGAAAAATGATGTGGAAGGGGGCGGTCCTAACGTGACAAAGATTTTAAATGTCAAGTACATCCACCCCCCCCACCGCCGGCCTTTTGTTCGTCACCAAGTGTTGTTACCCCCTCTTGCTAGAAATCTTGAACTATATGATGTAGCCCAAAAATATGTATTGTTGACGAGGCCCCACACAAGCGGTGGAGCATGTGGTTTGATTCGATGCAACGCGATGCACATTACCAGGGCTTTACATACTGCGAGTCCCTCTGAAAAGCGGGAGAGCCTTCGGGAACACAGACAGATACAGGTGGTGCAAGGCTGTCATCAGCCCGGGCCGTGAGATGTTGGGTGCAGTCCTCGGGAACATACAGACGCAAGTCCCGCAACAAGCGCAACCCTCCTTTCTAGAAGAGCGAGTGCTAGTGATAATCCGGAGGAAGGTGAGGATCCCCCGAAGGGCAAGCTTATCACGTGCGATGTGCATTCTTGGAAGTCGAAAAGACAAAGTAGCTGCCGAAGGCTGGCTGAACAACATCACAACGTAAACACGTGGACCCATTATCATGGACGAATGATTTGCTGGATTGTGTGCAAGGCTGCAAGGAGTTTCCTAAGAATAATTTAAAAAGTCGCTGTTACAACTTACCAGATTGCGGTGGCGCCAGCCGATGAACACGAGACACTTTCGAGATTGCACTGGGGCTGTACAAGTTGAAGGTGATGCTGTCTGGGCTAACGAATGCACCTGACACTTTTCAGCGGGCTATGAACTACATCCTAAAACAAACACTACCTCAAAAAAATGAGTTCGTGGTGCTATATCTTGATGACATCCTTGCATCCAACAAAATTTTAGGACAAAAGTTCCGACACATTTAAGGTTGGTGTTTGCACTAGGCAATGCCAACGCGTGATCAATGCTAAAAATAGCAAGTTCAGCAGGAGAAGATAGCCTAGCCTACACACATGACTTCGGTTGTAATGACACGACCCAAGTAGGCTACCTTCTCCAATCGAACTCTCTATTTTTAGAATTGATCATGTGTTGACCTTGTCTAGTGCAAACACCAACCTTGAATGTGGTGGACATTTTCAAGTTGTTCTGAAATTTGTCGGATGCAAGGATGCCATCAACATATGCCACCACGAACTCGTTGAGGTCGTGTTTGTTCGAGGAAGTATTTCATAGCCCGCTGAAAAGTGGCAGGTGCGTTCATCAGCCCAAACAGCATCACCTTTTCTTCATATGGTGATCTCCTACAAAGAGTTCATTCATCAAAGCCGTGCCATAATAACTGTTTCAATAACCATCCTGACCAGGAAGTGACCAGGAAGTATAAACCCTTATACACGGGTTGAGCAATCTGATGAAAACTGCATACCGGCAAAGCTTTTTTCTAGGCAGCTGAAAGAACACTGATATAGGATTATACTTTGGTTTCATAACTTGTACACTTCATAGTGGCAAGTGCCCTTTTGTAGTCTTTCCAGAAGTTCAAACACGGTGAGGAGCGAAACATAAAAAATAAGACAAGGAGGACACCGGGGAGCCAAAGGGAAAGTCAACTTAGAGAACCAGTTGCGAATAGCCAAGAGGATTTTTTTTCGCAGAGGGTGTTCAATAGCATTCGAGACAACTCCAGAAGATTCAATAATAGTAGTGAAGCACAAGCACGGGTCTCTGTCACAAGCTGTTGTACCACTTTCTTGAATAGCCAAGAGGAATTTTTGCAGAAGGCATTCAATAGCAATCAAGACAGCTCCACAAGATTCAATAAGAGTAGTAAAGCACAATCACAAAGTCTCTGTCACAAGCTGCTGTACCACTTTCTTCTTTTTTCCACCCTAAAACTGTTGGGTTGGCTGATTCCCAGAAGGTCTGAAAACTGGCTGAAGAGCAAATAAGAATAAGAACATGTATTAAGAAAAAAACAACGAAAGGGGTGAAAACTGGCTGACGTGCAAATAAGAACATGTATTAAGAAAAGTCCGAAAACTGGCTGATTTTTTTTTTTTTTTTTTTTTAACTTTTTTTTTGAGCAAAGGACTTGGTAATCGATCAACAGTAGGCAAGAGCTTTTTGAAACAACAGAGCTGATTGAAAAAGAGATTTAGAGGTCCTGTGACTACCAAGCAGATTGGTAGTCGAAGAATGCTCCAGGCGTTAGCCACCATGGAAAAATGTCTGCAAAATCAGTGTCCCAAATATTGCGTGCAAAAACTATCGTTGAAGACTGTTGCGAAGGAAGCTGTGAGAAGACAATCCAGAACATTTTCTAATGACGCACGCAGGAGAATGCGGGGTGCTGCATAACTAACGTAGGTACGCAGAGCAGAAATAAAGAGAGCAGACTGTAGTTCTGATGTCCTCCACCAATGTAACTCTCTCTCTCTCTCTCAAAACTGTTTTCTATAATAAAGTCGATGAAGCAAACTGGTTCCAGGCCCCAGGCAACTGCATCCCAAGCCCCAGAGGTACCACCCAAGAATGAGGACAACAACGAGGAAGCAAACAGGGTCCAGGCCAAAGGGAACTCTATCCCAGACCCCTAAAGTTACACCCAAGTATGAAGAGAGAACTCCATTCCAGCCTGCCTTCCTCACATGACAGCTTCAGCCCCCTAGACCTACAACCCATGATTGAGGAAAGCAAGCAACTGGGACAGCAACCATTGTCCTTCAACCAATTGTCTGAACTTGGTGCACCCCCAGGGTCCCCCACATCAATGGAGTTTTTCATGAGTGATGAACCAGGCAGGAGTGCAAGACTCCAGCAATTAACACCATCCATCCACTCACTGTCCTCAATGCTTTGTTTCTTGCTAACCTGTCATTATCCAGGCCTGCGAGACTGAGCATCCGACGCCCTCCGATCATTGTCATTACCAGGAGGGCGCGGCTGAACGATCCAAACCGGCAACCGACACCCTCCACCGAGTGCGCGGCTGAGCAATTGACACCCTCCTTTCTTGCTAACCCATCCTTGTCCAGACATGGTGTTTCCATCAGAACACGGTACCGCGGTTCAGTTAACGAAGGAAGGAAGGAAAGGTAAACCTGCAGCCACATTACATGCAGTGTAATATGCCAAGCGAATACCGAGAGGGGGGGGGATTGATTGGCTATGGAGGGAGGAGTGTCCCAGAGCAGCGAAAAAGAAAGTACTGCAACTGCATTGGAGTACAGCAGAACAAGTCATGAGGAATGAAAGGAGAGAAGACCGAAAAGCCGATTCCAGTATCTCCTCACAAAGGATGTCCAAAATAGGGAGAGAGGCTTTACGCATCTGGACAAAGAGAGGCCCACATCATTCAATCTTGAGACCAGAGTCTCAAAATAGATCCCGTTTCCGGAAGTCAGCAGCAATGTGCATGCTGTGAAAAAAAAAGTATTTGCAACTGCATTGGCATACAACAGAACGAGTCAGAGACACAATAAAAAGGAGAGAAGACTGGACAGCTGACTCCAGAAGGATCTTCAGAATGGGGAGGGAGAGAGCTTTTGTGGATGTGGACACAGAGATGCCCACAACATTCAATCTTGATACCAGGAGTCTCAAAATAGATCCCATATCTGAAAACCCTTACACACTTGTCAGCAGCAGGAGAAGCCATCTTTTGTAGTTAATCCTGACATATGTACACTTTCAGACCGGGTTACCGAGCAGACTACGTTCTGTGCATGTGTGTGTGTGTGTGTGTGTGTGTGTGTGTGTGTGTGTGTGTGTGTGTGTGTGTGTGAGAGAGAGAGAGAGAGAGAGAGAGAGAGAGANGAGAGAGAGAGAGAGAGAGAGAGAGAGAGAGAGAGAGAGAGAGAGAGAGAGAGAGAGAGAGAGAGAGAGAGAGAGAGATTCAATGTTCTTGTCGAAGGTGGCCTACAATGAATTTATCCTACCACTTCAGCAAATGAAAACTTGGGAACTTCTCTACTCAGCTAGGAGCAAGAAGAATAAAAGCTCTGATAACTGGCAAAGCGTGAAAAACTGAGGGCCTGCCAGGCGCACACATTCGACAGGCAATTTCGTAACCATGATGGACAAGCGAAAGTATGCATTGGTAGTGCTCCTACAGATGACTGTGGTCATTTGCCCGCAAGATAAGTCGTGCAAAGATGTGCCAAACATCGTGGTGATGATCCTTATATATATTACCTCACACAAGTTTGGACTTCACCTTGCTCAGCTGGATGAAATTCTACCATTTTGCTAACAATGACTCGCCTGGATGTCCGAAGGGTGGTTAACTTCCCTCCTAAGGATGAAATTCTACCATTTTGCTACCAATGACTCACCTGGATGTCCGAAGGCCATTTTGCTAACAACGAGTCGCCTTGATGAAATTCCACCATTTTGCTAACAATGACTCTACCATTTTGCTAACAATGACTCACCTGAGCCCCGGCCTGGCTTGTCCTCAAAACTGACCTTCACAGCTTCATGCACCGATCGTTCAAACTTTACTTGGTATGAAGGGGGGCGGGGCGTAGACAATTTTGTGTGAATAAAAAACTCAGAGTATAGAGCCAAGAGATTCAGAGAATAAAGCCTGTTTCTCTGAGTTTAGTCATCAGTCTGAATGCAGCAGATTCCTTCGCCTTCTTATGCGTTGGCAGAGAATCTCCTGTACATTCATGGATGCAACTTCCCATATTCACCATAGCCTTTATGGTAAATCTGCAGGGCATACACACGCCAGGCAACCACACAGGCACACCACCATGCAGATGAGTTAACTTCCACAGGCATCACAGTTTCAGGCTTCAGACATCTGCTGCGGAGAACCTCTGCCAAGTTTTACAGTGCATCACAACATGTCAATAACTATCAGCCTGAAAATCAGGTGTATACTTCCGGGAAAATGCATGGTGTGTTGTCGTGCAGTGCAGCACGCCGATAAGAAAAGAAAGACACATACAAAATCAGTTTTATGCTCTTCATATTGTCCTGACCCAGTTGCGAATAAAGGACAAAGGTTCGGCATAGCCCCCCACGTTTCAACAAGGCAGAAAGGAAACATCGGGTGTGCGCCCTTGAGGAGCCTGGCAGCGAAACGCTTTATGGGGACGTGTCCTTCTGCACGCGCCCCCCAGCCTTGCATTCCGCAATAACTCAGCTCAAAACATGCATCAGCCGTGGGTGTGGGTCGCCACTTTAGGCAAAGGGTCGACACAGGGGTCAAAAGCCATGCCCACTGCCTGAAAGGCCTGCTGCTGTGGGGTACCTGAAACAAGGCCTAAAAATGGCCTTCAGAGGCCCAACGTGTGACAGTTGACCAAGGACAGTCAACAGTCAACAGCAGCTCGGAAATTCGGGCCCATGAGTCAAAGTCAACATGGAACCAAGCTTACCTGTTTGCGTTCGTGTTCGACATTGCACACTGCTGTCCGTCTTCAGAAGGTGTCTGCGCTGACAAGCGCCATGATGAGATCAGCTCATTGTCAGTGTGTGTCAGAGCAGACTGTCTGCTGACATGGCGAGAGGGAGATGCCCGAAGAGGAAGTGGGATTGTGAGGGAGATCTATCTACTATGTTGATGGGTACTTTCGCTTCCACCTCTTAAGTCTTATCTCCCTTCCAGCATCCTCTTCTCTGGTGACCAGACATTGGGCTACCTGACGACATCTATGATTTTAGAGACATTGAAACTGCGCTGTGACATTCTGTGTTTCGACATTGACAAGCTTCTCTTCCGATTGGGTTCATTGCAATTTGGTATCGGAGCGAAATCCTCCAATCCGCCGCTAACTGCTGGTGCGCGGGGTGATATTGTAATCGCGCGCTCGATTGCGCGCTCCGCACGCCTCAATATAAGCGTCTCCTTTGTGCGCGCACAGGAATCAGATGATGATGATGATATTTTGTTGGCGGGAACACTGACATGGCGCTGGGCAACTGGCGGGAGTGGTCGTTGGCAGAACGCTGATGTGGCGCTGGGCAACTGGCGAGACTGGTCGTTGGCAGAACGCTGACGTGGCGCTGGGTGGCGAGAGAGAGAGCTGCTGATGTGGCTTCATGGGATCGATGCGCGCTTGCTGATGTGGTATGGCGCACTGGTGCTGACGTGGTACCTGACGAGGAAGCAGGGGGTCACATTGTCTGGCGTGGCACTTTCCGAAGTGTCGCGACTTACCTGCTGACGTGACACCTCCGAAGCCGCAGCAGCACATCAGGTTGACGCGGCTGAATGAAGACGATCCAGTGATCACATAAGAATTGGGCAGACACTTGCTGCTCAAGTGGACGCGACACATGTCCACTCTTGACGGCCTTACTGGCCATTGCTGCTGACGTGGCATTTCCTCCGACGATCTGCCACTTAGGCTTGATTGGAGTGTGACACGTGGCAGATCTGCCGTGCGCTGCCATCCGCTGAAGATTGGTGGGAACAACTACTTGCACTTGTGTGGTCTGACGGGCGGTACAGCACGAGACTATGTTGTACTGCCACACGTCAGAACTTGTGCCTGGACACACAAGCATATGTGAGAGAGACAGTGAAGGGGAAGACCAGCTGACACATTGCCGATTGATAGTGTTGCTGGCTGAATAATGATACTTACCTGTCGTGGGCCATCTTGTGGATGTCTGCAAACTCACCATTGTGTTGTTGTCTTGATCACATTGGTCATGGCTGCGGAAACCTGTACAGACTAGGAAAATCATCATCAAAACGGAAACCAGCACAGTTAGATTTAGGAAAGAAATTGAGAGTTCTGACCCCACAATTCTTATTTTTTTTGGTTTCTTATTTCTTGCCGTAGAGATCGAAACTCGTTTTGAAGCATGGTCGTGGAATTTGCAACTGTCTTTTGAGTTTATTGTGCGGCGAACACACTGGGAAAAATGACTTCTCTGGAACTGCTTGTGTGCGTCTATTATCACTCATTTCATCTCTCTTATCCTCTCTCCCATTCCGATCACCTTCTTCGCTGATGGAGTAGTAGTAACAAGAACCTGTGGCCAATTGGAAGAAAGACGCAGCACATGCTGGGCCGTCTTTGTCAACTGCTCACTGCACTGCACAACGTCGGGCCAGACGCTGAGCAGGATGTTCGCAGCCAGTTCAATCTGCGAGCTGCAGAAGTCGAATTATCAAGGGCTGAAACTGCTGTTCAGATGCTGGAAGCCAGCGGGAGAGTGCAGCAGACTATTGACCGAGGACGAATGGCCCTCGATCACTTTGTTGCTGAGCAGCTTGTGAAGATAGCCGGTACCGAGGCCAAAGAAGGGAAAGGGGAACCAAGTGAGAAAGGAAGAACCTGAACTGACAGAAGAGATAATGGGTGACACAATTAAGTAGTTGCAAGCTGCATTGGCGGAAGAATTGAAAGACAAAGAAGAATATCAAAGGCAGTGAAAGGAACAAGAGCAACAAGCAAGAAAGATCGAAGAGATAAAAAAGAAGTTTAATGTTGGGGAATCAGAAACTGACGTGGCGTCTATCTTGCAAAACATGATGGCTTACCTAGCACACCTAGAAATCGAGATTGCTAGTGTCACCGCAGAACTTCAGACGGTGCGCAGACTTGTAAAAGGGAAGAACAAGGTTGTGCATGAAGAGGTAGCCGAGGAGAAATAACGAGTCTAAGGAGAAGTTAATGAAATACACTATGAAACCCCGTGACACAAAAGAACCCGAACCCACCAAGAAAGAAGCCCCAAAGAAGGAAGAAGGAGAAAGACCAAAGAGAAAAACAAAAAAGTGAAGATGAAACTTCCATTCACTTACAAAGGTAAGAAGAGAACATTTGTTGTTGTGGATCACAGAAATTCATACTTGCTGTGGGACCGCCCCAGTAGAAGAGGACAGCCAAGTGGTGTTCTCCACATCTTGTCTTGGAGAAACTGCCAAAGAGGGGGTGCTATCGGAAGCTAACGCTGTTGGGTTCGAGGATATTGGGGATTGGGCTCGAACCATGATATTGCGAGAATTTCTCCTTAAGATCAAGGAAAGGTTCCTCGACAAAACGACGACTGACAAAGCCTATGACGAGCTCACCACCATTGGTCGGAAACGTTGGTCCAGTGTTGAAACTTTGTCCCGTGAAGTGGATCATTTGCTGCAGGTACCTGGACTGAACTTGCAAGATAACCAGGTCCTTATTGTCAGAGCCCATACGCGAACAGCTTGTGGCTAGGGCCAAGTCTGGTAAGTACAACTAATGACAGTTTAGGGATCTCGCTCTTCAGCGGGAACCACACAAGTAAAAGGAACCTATGCGAACATTGTTAGGAGTGGACCGACGGGTGGGTACGGGTACGGGAAAAAAGTCTTGTAGAGGCAAAAGCGACACGGCCATATTCTCGATATCTTCGACGGTGAGACAATTGAGAAATGACCCCTCGAAGAAACAGAGGGTGAAGCAAGTGGTGGCAGTGAGTCTAGAAAGCGTGACGTCACCACCATGGTGGCCAACAAGGGTGGCACCAATCGAAATGGTGGATTTAAGAAGAGGCGACCACGTTCCTTTCCCGAGCATCCTGGCATTGTTTTTGCCCGACCATAGGAGAAGAAGGGGCTGACCCAGAATGAATGACAGGAACAGATGGATAATCGGCAATGTCTAAAATGCGGCACTGCAGAACATATCATTGCATGGTGTCCCCTCATCCATAAATCAAAAGGGAGCAACCAGTAGGAGTAACATCTACTGCTACTGAGTTGATGGGTTTGGACAAAGGTAAGGCGTCTATAACCCCTTTCAACCTCCCAACTAGCAAGGCAGAGGATAGCTCTTTTTCGGCCCGTCACCCAAAACACCCTGAAAAAGTACTGTGTTCTGTTTCTCGAGGTGATCCCCTTGATGAACTTGGTTGTGAACTCGTTGCTTTACGAAGTTTATGGGCTAAGAAAGCAAAGTCTAAGGGTGAATTGATGACTGCTGACGTAGAGATTGCGCGCACATGTGTAGGTGCTTTGTTAGACCCTAGGTCTACGCGGTCCTCTATCTCAGAAAAAGGCAATTTGTAAGTTGCATTTGAGAATGGAATTGCAAGACCCTTTGAGACCTATCACGTCTATGCTTGCTGACCAAAGCACAATATCAATCTCTCGGTTTGCACTGCAATTGAGGGTCACCCTGAGGTACTGTCATGATATTGAGAGAAACCTGGACGAACTGATTTTTGCGATCCCTCTTGATTGGGCCCGCATTCTGCGTAAGGGGCCTTGACTGATAGAAGGGGACTGGGTTGTGATCCCGGGAGAGACTGAGAGTGTGGGCTGCGTGGTGGAAGTACGGGCTGGCGAATCCTTGGTCAGCCTCCTCCACAAAGGGAAGCACAATGTCCTCTCTAAGTACACCCCGGAGGTGGTGAGATGGTGTAAGAATGTGGAGGTGAACAAAATCCGCGTGATAAAGTCGAAGGACCTATGGGTCGCCTTTCAACCCGAGACACCTCTAGAAGAACTCCCCCTCGACCCGGCATTGGAGGCCCAAACGTCGACCGCAGGCCACACCAAACAAACAACTGTTCAGCCTGACTGTAAAAGATACATACCAGCTACTACGCCCAAAAGTGAATTTGAGGGACGTGGTGAAGGCCCGATGGCAAACCCAGCTGAATGTCGGAAGAGACTCTCTGCGCCCTATCAGATGGTTTACAACTATAAAATCTAAACCGGCGAAGTTCGCCTCACTACAATG